GGGGGGCAAGGTGCATGGCTCCTTGGCTCATGCTGGTAAAGTCAAAAGTCAGACCCACCCCCAAGGTAAGGAAGAGTAATACATCTTAAGGTAATAAAAATGCAGATCAGGTGTTTAAATTCCTGAGATGAGAATTCATCATTCAAAGTTTCATTAGTAGACTTTCTTTTGTCAGTGATCTTCAAGTAATCTTGTGCTTGAGTGTGTATGACAAATAACAGTTTGCAGCATTTCAGTAAACCTTATTGACATTCTCCAGTGCCACGTATATCAGGAAGGCACATAATCTGTCTTTTTGTAATTACATCATGCACTTTCGCCAGCCTTTTTGTTAAATGTGTACAGTCTGTGGTTATCCACATTCACAAAGATATATATATATACGTTGGTCTGTACTCACAGTAGTATAATAATTTTACATTTGTGTTTTTCAGGTGGACAAACAAGAGGAGAAGAAGAAAGAAAGAAAAGACTGGTCGTGCTAAGCGAAGTATGCAGTACAGTCCCCAGTTTGCGAATGTTGTGCAAGGTTTTGGCTGCAGGAGTGTAACTAATGCAAATTCATAAGTGAATAATTTTGAAATGAAAGTTTGTTTGAGATTAGAATTGAGTATCAGAGTTTTGTAACTTGCTTATTTACTGAGTGTTGTACAAAGTGATGCTTGGAGGTGTGATCAGTTTATTGAGTGATTCAATCCAGCTAAATTAGAAGAAATAATTTTTGTGATTGATGCTACTTGCATGGATTGGAATGATGTTAAGTTAATTTTGATAAAATTATGAGAATTGTATATTGTTGTTTTTATCTAATAAAATGTGTGAAAAGAGAAATAAAGAATACAAGGAAATAAAAAATTGTTTCATTTCTACTGAAAGTAATCACCTCCTACTTGAATACATGTGTCGAATTGTTTAGAAAGTTTTTGAAAAAGTTGTCAGGAGGATTTCAAACGAAAAACTTTCAGTTTGGTCATTCCAGAGCATTGTGAAACCTCTTTCCTTAGATGGTAGTTTTCTCCTTAAGCAATCTCTGTGCCAGGCCATGGAGGCCCTTACTGTTGTAAAATGTTGAAGCTCCTACGTTTTGTAGGCAGTAAACTCACAGAGGGTGGCGAGTTTGTCATCCTTATATGCCAGGCGCCCTTTAGGTAGCTGTTGGGGAAGTCATTTGGGGCCCCACACCAAAAGTAAATTAACTGGTGATTCTTCATTTTTTTTGAGCTATGACATATTGTCACTGTTTCAGAAAATTAAATAGTAGTCTATTCATGCACACAATCAGGTATTTATATTTAGCATCTTTATTTATTGCTTTTCATTAGAATGAATGAAAAGCAAAGCTTCTTAAGTTATTTCCTCTTTTCTGTTTGAATCTTATGTTTTATTTAACACAAAAGGCCGATCATATAATGGGGACCCCCACACAATTTTACATATTTCTTCGCAAAAACTGTTCAAAGATTCTTCCTCCAGTTTGTATGCTCACTACATGCTTATGTCAAGTTAAAGCCACGACATGAACTAATCCTCTAGGCCTGCCCTAGATATGTTGCAGCTACCAGAATGTGAGTGATCAGATCATCATAATCTTGAACTTAAGTAGCATAAACATCTTTCTGAAAAAAAAAGATAAAAGTTGTCCCTGTGCTTAACTAATTAAGCACTAAATCCTTGAAGGCATATGGGAAGTGGATGTATAGATCCACATTTTCTCCAGTCCTCTAATCCAAGATCTTGAAGTTCTGTATGGTGCTAGGTCTATGGAAACCATTCAGTTCTTATGGTAATATTTTAGGAAAATGGGAAATAATACAATGGCTGTACAAAGCATTTTCATGACAAGTGCAGAATCACCGTGACCTGTGAAATATGTAAAGTGGCAAAAGTTAGCACAACAGGTATGAATCGAAAATCTGTGACTTCAGAACCATGCGGCACCATGATGAATAATTCAGACATCTGTTACAAAAATTTAAAGCTGTGTATGTCACTTTTTAAATGCCTTGAAGATGTGACTAATGGAATTTACTGTTAGCATGGTGATCCTTATGTTGCTATAGACCAAAATGTATACAAACTAATTATTTTAGTAAACTGTCCTCTTACCATGCCATGTTACATTTCAGCCTGCTAAATATGTACTATGAATTTCCTGTTCTGCGTAAAAAGATGAGTTTTGTAGAGATTTTTCTACCTGCTGTAGCTGACAAATAGCATTTATGTACTTGTAGGTAATTGAAACTAGCCAGAAATGTGCTTTTGTTTATTAGGTAACTCTGAAACAGTCTCACATGACCTGGAATTGTGCTTGGTGCTTGAGAATACTAAAATTAACCATATTCTCTAGTAAAATGAAATAAAACTTTACACAATCTTCCAGATGTATAATGCCTTTGGTGATGTATTTTATTAGGAAATTTAAAACTATAGTCTCTTCTACATGAAAACAGTTAATGTCATACATACTGGAAATCAATGTAAAATCATTTGTTCACAATAAAATTAAAATTCACATGAAACATCTATGTGAACATGTTGAGTATTTAAAATCAGGTGTATCAATTCATTCTACAGCTGAACTGCACCCACTGAGATCAGCTGATGTACAATGAATTGACAAGTCATGTTATATGTTATGTTACAAACACACTGTGTGGCTCTCAGAAACATGAATAAAATGTATATGTTATGTATGACATAAACTATGTATGTAGATTACAACAGTACCATGAATAAAATGTATACAAAACTTATTGTATAAATAACGTTTAAAACAGTTTATGCATAACATATTTAGGAATTTCATTGCTTCACAATGGTGTTTGAAGTCCACATGCCCCTCAATGTGTTATGTGCTCCAATGTGCAGCATGACTAGTTCTGTGTTTTGGGTGCTCCTCACTCCCACGGTGCGAATGTTGCAGGTCTGCAAGAAAAAAAAACTGCTGGAATACTGCACAGCATTTTAACCTGTTTTATGTTTACAAAATGTCATACCAGCAGTATAGCTGGAAAATCAACTTGCACCAGAAGAGTGAACAGAAAGGAAGACTTAAGTACAGAAGTGTAGTATCAGCACCAGAAAATGAAGGAAAAAGAGCTATTGCTGGATTTTAAATGTCTGTTGACCACATATGTGTTGAGTCACAGAAGTGAAATTTTTCAAAACCCTTTCTGGTCATTGGCAATTGGAATACTGAAATTAACTGAGCACATAAACATCTGACTGGTTCTAACATCTTTGAAGTTCACTGAAAGTTACTGGAAAGCCATATAAAATTATATATAACATTATTTTACATTTATCCATGTTCATTTTACTGTTATTTTTAACTATTATTACCTGTATGTTCATAGAATCAACATTTATTAGCAAAGATTGTTATACTGAAAACAAAACAAAAACTTTCACATATATGGTTTTGGATATTATGATTTCAGTTATTTGTTTTGTAGAGTTCATCATTGAAATGGCAATGGATCTTAGCAATTACATCAAGGTACAAGTATGCATACTGCGACTCAGCTGTAGGTCAGTTCTTTAATATACAGAAGTGCTTCGGATGAAAGAATGTATCTTATTACCAACTCCCAAATAAAATTCAACAATATATATGTATACCTTTATGCATTACACAATTGAGCTATTATTATTAGGGTATTAAACCAAAAGAGTATTAGCTGCGGATGCAGTTTGGCAGGAAGAAAACATGCATATAGAAGAAATCTATTGGAAAGAACCCATTTATGAACCAGAAAACGAAATGGATACACATTATTAAAATGGATCAAAATAAACTTGCTATGGGGATGTGAGAAGGACTAACTCAAGCTAAAGATTTGCTGTGGTGTTAGTACAGGTTAAGTTTACAGAAAGGTTAGTCCTCATATAAAAAATGTGTGTCCCATATTCTGAAACCTAAAATCTGGCCACATTATACATGTAGGATTTGAGGTTCTCACAATGGTGGTTATGAATAGTTCTCTCTTCTAGGACCTAACGCTCTGTAGTCCATTGAAAGTCAACCAACTTTTTGGAAGAACATGTCAGCTCCATCTTCAGGGTCAAAGAATAAGCCAAGCAAGAAACAAGTACAAAAGCATGCGGCAAGCAGACTGGACTCTGAACGGAATACATGACATTATAACCCAGAAGACAGAACCGTTCAACAATATAAATGACTGAAGTGTATACAAAACTGGTCATACAGTAGCAGACAACAAAAGGCACTTTCACTTAACTATCTGTAAAAGCATTTTGCAAAGTGTTAACTGATAATCGGGATATACCACTTCAAAGGGAGCAAAAATTTCACTGTATGTACACTATCAATACTACAAGGGGCTTCCAAGAAAATTCTTTAATTATGAAATTAGACTGGAGCATCAGTGATGTAACAAAAGAACAGTAGCACATGGATGTTAAAATGTTTAGTGAATTTCACTTGATACTCATACTGCTAGAATGGATACTGTCAAACAGTTGAATAAATAAGCACTTTTCCTTCTTGTTCTAACACGTATTTCTCTAAAAGGCACCTTTGCTGAGGAAAGAATGTGTACACTTTGTAAGCAAACATTTGACAAGTAATTCAGGTACAAACAGCAGAGCATATTCATTTATCTTCATTTATATCATCCCCATTGTTTGTAAAGTTCACATACCTCAGACAGGATATTTAATCTTTCTTCTTCGCATCTGCTTTTTCATCTTTGTTCCCGCCACGACCAAAGAGCTTAGCCAAGGCGTCCCAGATTCCACCCAAGAACAGTGCACAGAACAGGTTCTCAAATGGAACAAATGGATCATGGATTCCCAAAAGAAGTGAAGACAGCTGAAAATATGGGCATTTTGAACTAGTACTTGCCTCAGTCAGAGTGTAGCCTACTTTCAATTTACTTAGGTCATTACAACACTGAAATTACACAATTCATTACATTATGCAGCCCACTTTCAGTACTTCTCCAGGTTTAGTTCCCATTATTAAGACTCGTATGTGAAATCCATCCACCATTTTTCAGTGTGTCCAGTGCTAACAGATAATGTGATGAAACATTATGTGGACCACCTGACAAAAATAGGATAAACTTTAACTGAAGTTGCTTGTTTGTTTCTATTACCCCCCACAGTTTTTCAGTCTTTTATCCTTCTTGACAGCTTACCTGTTAAGGAAGAAGGAATTAATTTCTTAAATGGAAGTGCCTATAGAACAAAATTCTGTTTACTCTCAATGATGTGAGGATTCAAGTGAGGGTTTACGGGTTCAAAAACCATGTGTTCAAACCTGCTTTGCATCCAGCTGGTTAACAGGAGTCCAGTACTTTATCTAAGGGCCACCAGAGTAGCATACATTTCAAATATTTACTTACCTTAAAGTATACGAAGAATATTACAATTCCAAAGTACACCAGAGCATGTGGTGCTGAGATAAGGTCAGTCTTCTTATCCAGGACAAATATAACTGATGCAACTATGCAGGCTTTTGTTGGACTGAAATCAAAACGTGTACATAACGTAGTCACTGGCACAGTGTTATCATCTTGTAGCCTCACATCAATACCACAAATCTTATAAATTAGAGAATTTTGACACTTTACAAAACCAACACACTCGTATACTTGATAATATGTAGAGCAGATTTTAATAGATTTGAGGCTTTCAGATTTTAATACTTTGTTAAATATTATATTAATTGCATTTACTTTAGATAATTAAAGTTCTATGGTCGCCAGAATAAAACCGATTGCATACAATTATTTCAAAAACCATCAACATCTACTTTTCCATTTATTTATTATTTCTCATCTTATTTCAACTCTTGACACTGAATAAAATCTGTGAACTCTTTACACATAAATGCTGCTCGATGTTATGGGTAGGATCTACACCTCACTTATTGTTAAAAAAGACTAATATTCATGCTTTTACAAGAACATTACAAGATAGAAATAACAGAAAAATACACCTTTAGGTGGCATTGAAAAGGTGTGTTTAGTTTATGTTTCATGTATGTCTCCCACCCAGCTTATGCACTGTGTTGATATTACCTATATCTGTATCTGTATCTTTATCTTTATTTTAAGTCCATAGATCCTTACTGGCTACCAAAGCCATCAGATACAGAACATGTCACATATGCATACATTAGTTCTAAACATAGAACTAGTCATCTTACAACTACATTCATAATAGAAACAATAATTATATATAATTCAGTAATTTAACAAGAATATGGGACTAATTGGTGTGAAGGTAATAACTTATTAGGATAATAGCTTAAATATATAAACAAATATCAGATTATACTCAATTAATTTACACAATGTACTATATAAACAGCATTGTAAAAGGTTTAATTTGTCTTGTATTTAAAATATTCATCTAATGTGTGAAATGAATGGAAATGCTAAAAAAGAATTCAAGGTTGATTTAAATTGTTTTGTATCATGGAACTAATCCTTTATTGAAGCAGAAGCTGGTAACCTTTAACGTACGGACTTTTAAATTGACCGGGAGCCCTCTGCGGCCAGTATTTAAATCGCCCTAATTAATTAACATTGCAAACTTTCAGAAAAAAAATACATAGTATTTTCCTTCCTATGCAACATAGAAATACTAACTAAAAAGAGTCTGAAAGACAATAAAATTTTCTACACATACTCAAAAGTGCAATTTTTACAAACGAAAATTAACTGTGATTATTTTTTCAAGAAATGCAAAATATAATCTTTATTATAGACGGTGGGTGATGCAAATCAAATTTGGTCCCATTATTAATAATGTGGAGTGCTGCCAGAAAGCTGGAATGGTTGAGATGAGTGTTGATTTCCTAGGCAACAACCAGCATTACCACTGCAATGCCTAGGAATCAGAATGCATCCATTGCTGTACAATGGCTAGCAATCTAACAATGGAGTTTCCACCGTTACACACAAATTGTTCAAGGCAGCTGCATGACAATGGCTAGGAAGACTCGTAACAATGAGAGCATATGCTAGCTAACTAGTGAAGTTACCGCTACAACGAAACAAAACACTAGCTACTGGCGGATAGAACACATGAAATGGAACCCTTGAACAAGGTGTCTTCTAGCCCGTACAACAGTAGGGTGTAAGGGAAGACCAGGTCGGAATTGAGATCAGATTACAACAAGCCAAGATACAAAATGACACAAAGAGATCAGAGAGAAGAGATTACACAGAGATACAGAGAAGACTTCACCGAGAATGGTGGTGCGAGATTGTCGTAACACTGAAGAGGAAACATCCAAATATGTTATAAGTGGAGAATAACTGTAAGTGTGAGTGTAAGAGTGACTGTCCAATAAATATCCGTTCAAATCCGAAACCCACACACAATTTCTTGTCACATTGCCTAGCAAACATGCAACAATATTATGTATCTCAGAATTTACTTTGAAATTATGTTTATTATTGATCACACATAATAAAAGTGAATATACTGAGACTGTAGTGGTAATATTTTTTATTCTCTAAAATATTCTGTTCATGAATCTCAATCTCTAATCCCCACCATAATTCTAATATTCTTTTTTGTAGTTTAAAAATTGTATTGCTATAACAAGAGTTCTCCTAAAATATCAGTCCATAAGTCATGATATAGTGAAAAATAGGAATAATATACCATCTTCAATGATTCTTTGGACAAGAAGGGCTTAATTGTTCTAATCGCGAAACAAGCTGAACTTAGAAGAAAGCAGTCTTCTGGGATTTGGCACCGTGTATATGTGGTGTTAACCGACGTTTCGGAGGAACGTATCGCCCCCATCTTCAGGGTTGAAGAAAAAGTATAAGTAAATCTGCAAGCGACAACGCCGTGAAAGCCTCAAATCTTACAAGCTGAACTTAGTTTGGGCACACCTGTATCTATATGAGCCTTCCAAGATAATTTGTTGTCCAGTGTTAGTCCAAGGAATTTTATATTACAAATATTAACTATTCTCTTGTTCCCATGCATTATATTTCAATCAATTATAGAACTAGTCTTAGTTATAACCTGCATAAATTGTGTCCTATCGACATTTAGTGACAATAAATTAGTAGTGAACCATCTATTTATATCTTGAAAAACTTTATTAATACACTTTATTAACACAGGAGGAGGTTGGACAAAGCTTTCGCCTGTTACATTTAATAGGTTATATTATGACATTAGTGAGTTTTGTGTAAATACTAAAAAGCACATAATGTGTATCTTGTGTACTTTGTAATATTAATAAAATATGTGTGTCATACATCAACTCATTGTCATTGTCAAGGTTCAGGCCTTTAGGTCTGTTCTGCCCTCCTACTGAATAGGCTTATCTCTCCACTGTAGTTTTGGATGTCCAGTTGCTCCCCCTTAAATCTGGCCTTGCTAATAAGTTTTCTTCCCTTGGTAATACATTCATTATCTGTCTAGGTAGGCCTACACAATGAAGTTCCATTCTTTCTACATAACATGTGCGGTTACATATCAAATGAAATGTTCAGACAATTGAAAAGATGCATGTAAAATTTGATGAGGCCTTTATATAAAGTGGTCCTTAAAATTACAGAGTGAATGAAATATAAATAACTTGATACATTCACAATATTTGTGTCATACAGTAAGTGACTTTATATCAGAGAACTGTGGGGACAGAGAATAAGTTAAACTGGTGGGTCATTTCTTAGGATATTTGTACATTACCTGCATTATTTCTGTTCTCAGACACACCACGTTTTTGTGTATATAAACAATAAGCTGTAAAGGAGTCTTGTTTTTTGATTATTCCATATCCATATCACAATGAAACCCTGTATTATGTAATCTTAATAAATAAGAAAAAGATGCATCAGGAAACAACAGGATTTATTCACATTGCTGCATAGTAATATGAAATGATTATCCCCATGAAATAATGTTTATGAATTGAACTTACAAACTTGGCTGCATGAATTCCATTGCTGTTGGTGTCCACACTCCCCTGATTAATCGTTCAAACAACTTTGTAAAACCAGCACCGTTACCTGTGAAGTTAAATTGATTTATTAATATATGAAATGGCAAATAAGAATAATGTGTAGGGTACAGGAAAATTCCTAAGGGTCAGGCATAGCCCTGCTGAGGTCAAGTTAAATGCCTCATCTGCACGCCTGAGTATGGGATGAAGATTTATGTTACAGGATGCTTAACAACTGACAGCAGCTTGGAGACACTGTGAAGATTATAGAAAGTTATATTGACCAGTCAATCCTACACCACACAATTGACCATATCCTGAAATGATGGGACCAGTCGTGGTACATTAAATGCTGATCATAAACTACTAATGCAGTGGCTGTTGAAAATGCATTGGCAAGCCTGGAATGACTCAAAGTGCAATACATGTTTCCCTTTTGCAGATACTGGTAGAGGCTCTATCTTGAAACCTGTGGTGTAAGGAAGTGGGGGGAGGGTCAAAACAGACCTACCTACTATGTATAGCATCAGTTCAGAATGTATTTGCCATTAGCTTACTTGTGTAGGGCTCAGCTGGACTGAAGTAAAGCAATTGTGTTTTGGCTCAGGTAGTAGTTGTTGATTCTTGCTGCTACCATGCCTTTAATGGTTCTGACTTCCTGCATTCCTCACAACTCTCAAGATTAATCTTGTGCTGTACACATGACTGCTCTAGCTCTCAACACAATGCAAAGGATTTTCCTGAGCATGTTGCACTGAATTACATAACTCTCTAGCAGTCTCCCATACATTTACATTTAAACAAATTGCTTATAAAACCATGTTCATCCATCTTTTGGAAATTTTGTCTGCACCCACACAACACGAGATCAGTATGACAGTACATGCATGTCCATTATTTTTTCTGTGTTAATGTTTCAAAATTGTAAGGGTGGACAATTTTATTACAGTCTGGAGTTCTGAACTTGGTTGGCTGATGGTGCTTTCCATTTAAGAGACACAGACAATTCCATGAACAGAGTTTGCAGTTCTAAGACAAATCCTGAGATTGAAACAAGAACTGAATTAAATGATAAAAGAAAAAATACATGTAACCAATATGAAAAACGCACATTCAGTATCTCATGCTAAATTTTTCATTCTCAGTTTTAAAATACTAATGGTATAGGGCACTGGCTTCCACCGCAGCAGCCTGGGTTCGATCCCGGGTCTGGTCAAGTGGGATTTCTGGTGGACAAAGTGGTGCTGGGGCAGGTTTTCTCTGAGTACTTTGGTTTCTCCTGCCAGTCTTCATTCCACCAATTGCTCCACAATCACCCTCACCTATCATGTGGGGCTGGTACAATAGACCAGAAGTGGCCGCAATAGAAGGGACTTAGTCCCACCCCACTAGCAATAAAAAAAATGGTATAGGGCCATTTGCTAATCAGTTAATTGATTAATGTGGATTACAAAATCAGTTGATTAATCAGAGAGATGTGACAGCCATAAATATTTCCTTTACTCTAAGAGTTAAATATGCCTTGAGACACTATATTATCCACGTAAGGATTAACATAAAACATGGAACTTATCTTAAAAGGCTCTTTGGAACAAAGAAACGAATTTCAACTTACCTTTCAGCGTTCCAATGAGAATCATAATTATATATGCGTTAGGATATAACTTTGCTGCGTGAGTTACGCCATCATACACCTTTTTACATCTATGGAAAGAAATTACACTACATAAATAAACTGCAAACAAAATACACTGAAAGTGATGCTAGTGTTCAACACTTAAAAGCTTTGTATATGACATCAATCATAGATTTCATTATGTTCTATGACTTTCATTTGAAGTGTTTTGTGTTTATAAGAACTCTGATAAATTTCTACTTCAGCTTTGTCCTATAAACATTCTGTTGGACAGATTTGAATGAAAACGAAATCCATCTAAGGAAAACTTGTAGTATGCATCCACAGTATCAAATTCATCATCCTCCACTGAGTAGTCTGGAGATGAAATATTACGAGGCACTGCAGTATTTCTAGCCATAAGGTTGGTACTAACAAAGAGACAAAGACCAAATAAATTACACTGTTTTTCAAAGAAGATCTGTAACAATTTTACTCATAACAAACACACTATGCATGTAATATCTGGGGTTCTCAGAGGTTTGCATTAAGATTATGGCCTTTTGAGATGTGAAACTGTGTAGTTCTGTAGACAGGTACCAACATTTCTGACAAACCTGCAGACTCTATTGTCAGGGAACCCAAAAGACAGAGGCACCGCATTCCTCCGAGAAGTTCTTACTGAAGTCAAAAATAAGCCAAAAGAAGTAAAGTTCTTACTTGTGTACAAAACTACATAACATAACACCCCTGGAGACTGTAACACTATAGCTCTTATAGCATCTCAGTTTCATGCACTTGAATATTGTTTTCGATCTAGTTTCATTCCCTTTGCTCCCCCCCCAAAAAAAAAAACACCGCTGCCTTATCAAAAAAAAAACATCATATGGAAGAACCAATGGGAATCCAACTGGCTGACTTCTCCCACTGTTCAGCCAGCAGTCTATGGTGGGACAGGATACTGCTGACCGCCCGTCAGTCTCCAGCACACAAGATAACTAACTCTGCACTGTCCAGGAACACTTCACTGTACCTCATTCCAAATCCACCATATTTAAGGTGACTGATTATCTTTGCTCATTAATATGATGAAGCAGTACTAGACAAAATGTTAGACTACAAACACTGGTGGATTTTCCATGTCAGCAGAATGTAGGATAAAGACCTCCCAAAGACCTACTGGAACAAAGGACCACAGGCCAAGTAAGGAATGGCTGCAGCTATAATGGACCAATGAAAGAGTCAACTCCTTTGTTGTTTAATGATGATACATAAAGTATATTTGTAAGGCACCTAGATCCATTCATGCATCTGTACTCTAACACGTCATACATGTATACAGAAGCATATCCTATCTAGACTGGGAATACACTTTTCTTTGGTACTTGTGGTCTTGAGAGTGATGATAAGAAAAGGGGAGAACTGTATGTGAAGAATGACCAAGTATTATCAACTTATGTCACCTGTCAACAAATCATAAGTCTGTGAACCCTCAGTCATATGCATTCCTTCATCAGATGACTATGATTTTTAAATGTCAACATGTAGACACACAATGCCAGTTAAGTGAAGCCATGACTCTCTGGTTGACTTTAAAGCTCCCACGTGCAAAGCACGTGACATTAGGACATGTGAAATATATCACTGTCCCAAAGATCAACCTTGGAGAATAAAACTGTTCTTTAACCTCTCTCACCTGGATTTAAATCTTCCATTATCACAGTGCTGGCAGCAGATTTCAATTTGACACTAACGCAGTAGCATAGTTGGTTGAGGCACTATGCTTCAAGCTGGAAGATCGTGGGTTCAAGCCCTGATGAGGTCACTGGATTTTTTTCAATTGACCTAAACCTTCCAGCCACACTACGGCCATGGGATCGACTCAGCCTCTAACAGAAATGAGTACCAGGAATATTCTTGGGGGTAAAGGGCAGCCAGCGCGTAGGGCTGACAACCTTACCGCCATCTATGAGCCGACTGTCTAGAGAAAATGTGGAACCTCAACATCTCACAACCCTATGGGCACCCATGCACCCATGAGCATTTTCAGAACCCATCTTGCGCAAAACTTGTGACAGCCTACATTAGCTGCCTAAACTAAATGGTTACTTTCTGAACAGACCCTCATAAGTCTCTGGGGATGAAGCATCTTATATTCTCGTGCTTTTTTCTGAGCTTCTGTTTCATTTATTTCAGTTGGTTCTCATTTTACTTACTTGTCTTCTTGTCTGTCAGTTGTGCAAAATGTGAATGAATACATCGACATTAATCTCTCTGTTACTGGTACCTCAAATAAGAAGATATATGTGTATTACAATTACCTGTAAATTTCTTTCATAGCTGAAAACACAATTTTGATTGGCAGGAATTTTGCTGCTTTGTAGCCAATGTCAAATGGAGTATAAAAAATGACATACCTGAAACCAACACATAAAATATGTCTTAGTATCTTATCAAAACAAATTGGTGCTACAACCTGAAATACTTGTAGATGCCACTGTCTTCCGAGATATGACATCATGTAGACTGGTAGACATGTACCAATATTTCAGAAGAACCCACTGCCACTTCCTTCAAAGTCAAAGACTCTCGTTTCTATCAGCAGCTTCATCTGACTCATAGGCTAGTGTCAGTGTCAGGTCAGTGTCAGTGTCAGGCTAGTGTCAGTGTCAGGTCCAAGTAGATAGTGTCTTCTAAGTTACAATCATGAGAAATTCAAATTACAAACATAATCTCTCAAATTTGTGCATTTATTGGGCATTTTGTTTGTTGCAGAAAGTGTGAACAATCAGAATAAAATTACCACCAAGCAGATTTTATGAACACTTTTCCTGCCAGTTAACTGACTGAACAAAGGGGGAGGTTCTGCCAACCTACCAGATCAAATTTGGTCAAAGCATAAAAATTAGTTTCATGTGTGTTATTAAATGGCACAATCATATTTGTTTGTTAATATTTCTGACTCTTACCTCGAATTCAGAAGTCGCTCTTGCTCACTTCTAAATTACTTTTCCAGTTATATAGGAAATGTGTGAAAATTCACAACTTAACCTGGGTATTCCTTAAAACAAACCACTGAAGTTATTAAGACTGTTTATTTATAATGACAGTCTTGTGAATATACTGTAGCGTGTACTCCCATTAATGGGTAACAATCTCAAAGTAAACAATGAAACAACATCCACTGCTAGCTAACCAATTCTTAAAAGTATGTGCAACTGTTACTGGGTAATGCCTTCACAAACAAACACGTTTCCATGAAAACAATTGGAGTACAACAATGAATGGTGGATTCTAGGCGGTCCATACCAAGATGTTATAACCGAGAGAAGTTTAGAAGTTAGTCTGTAACAGAGTGAGTTACGAGTCAGTTGTAAGGGAGTCTGTGAAGAGAAGAACTGGTTGGTGCAGTTGAAGAATCCCCACTGTTAGAAGCTGTTATCCGGGAAAGTCTGGTGAAGACAGAGCAGACTGAAAAGATTTAACGTGTGCTGTAGTGATTTGTAAAGCGTGTAAATTAGTGATCGTGATATAGATACTTGTAGCTACAACCTGTAAGTGGTCAATAAGTCCAGTCTCCAATACAAAAACCCCACATACAGTCACTCAAATATGTGACATTATGTTCCCACTAAGCAATGTTGTATATTGGATTAAAATTTTCCACAGAGGTGACTATGAAGGATATGGGCTACTGGGTTGTAATGCTGTGTAGTTCATACATTTCCAATGAACATATAACTTCTATCTTCAGGGTCAAAGCATAAGCTAAACAAGAAACCTCACAGTGTAAGTATAGATTCTATCGTACAATCGTAAGGATTGCAATGATTCTAAAAGAGAAAACTGAATTCTTTATTTCTACCATGTTAACATTAATTTTTAATGTTTTTGTATACTTTCAAGAGCCTTCTATCCAGTGACTACTGCAGGTATTTTTACCAGCACAGAGCAATAGGGCCATAAAGCTGGCCACTGACTATCATCTACCACTGAATTTATAAAATGCACGGAACTGTACCTCCACCTTCCCATACATTTTTATGGCCTGGTGCTTAATAGAGCATAAGGACAACTTTAACTTTACAAATTATGATAATCCAAAATCTCACCACACAACAGTAGCAACAGCCAGCTGTTGTGTGTTCTTCAGTGGGGCAAGGACGGGTTCCCCAAGGAGGCCATTGCAGAGCATCCCTCCAGCAAACACCACAAGCATGGTGGAGAGCCAGCATGACATAGGATGTTTCCGGGAGAAGGCCTGTGCTCCTGCAACACATCACAGCAACATCCAGTGGAAATAACATTTATACTGCATTTCTTCTCACTGAGAAATGATGGCCTTCAAGGTGCAGTGCTCACAACAGGAATAGGATACACCAATGAAGCATGCATATTTACTGTATCAATGTCAAAGCATAGCCTCAGAGAGTTAAATACAATAACCTGCCATTAATATTATGTTTGAAAATTATTGTCTTCTGGAATCTGATGCTGTATAGCCTGGCAGATGGTTACCAACGCTTTGCAGGAACATGTTTTCATCCTCAGGATAGTTGAGGCAGCGAATTCCTCTGAAATGTTGGTAACAATCTATCAGACTACATGACTTGTCTACCTTGAACATGAAGCCAATATGTTACTCCAGAACGTTTGTAACAAGCTACTCCACTACATGGCATCAAATCCCAGGACACCATAATCCTTATAGTCACCAGTGTGAGAATCCAAACCTTGCAACATGGTCCTTGAGCAGAAAATATTTATTCGCCTGCCCAAAAAATTTACTGTTATGGAACCCAACAGTTCATCACTATGACTGAAATATCCTGTAAGTGGACCACATCCTGAGTCAGTTCAATCCAATTTCTGGAATGTAGTGTACTGAAAGAAACACACAAAATCCTGGGTCTCTTCACCAGAATGAAGGGCAAAATCATGATATAAAGATAGCTAACAGATGTTTTGAAAATGCACAGAGTCAGTAAGGTGATTTCATAAACCTCCTTTATTTTTTAAAATAAGGAATGAACATAAAAACGGCAAGGTGATTTCATAAGCATTCCATTATCTTGTAAACCATTATATAACTGGTCACCTAGTGTTTGTTTTTGTCTCTACAGAGTGAGTTATGATGTGTCCTGTTACTGATAATCCCGCCAGCTTCGAAATTTGCGCTGTTATCCGATTTCTTCACGCTAATAACACGAGTGCTGCGGAAATCCATGGTGAATTATGCGCAGCGGTTTACCGTCAAAATGTAATGAGTGAAGGATCTGTAAGATGATGATACAGACTGTTCAAAGATCGGCGAACAAATGTTCACGATGAAGAGCGAAATGGTCGACCCTGTAGTGAGTGAGGATCTTGTTCAAACTGTTGACCAAACAACTCATCAGAGGTTACATTCCGAACAGCCCTCATATAAAAGACTGGAAGAAAATTTTCTGGCTTGATCCCCCCCAACAAATCGTGGAATCGATCATGCCTCTCACATTTTCCCAAATTCTGTACCAAGCCATATATTTTTATAACTTTCCCAATAGAAAACCAGTTCAAATGTTAACAAGTACTAGTCATAACTATTACACCACTGAATATGTTTATTTTAAAGTTTCATAATGAGGAAAGCCACAATTTGTACTTTTCGCCTAATATTGTACACGTAATAAAAATACGGACGATAGGTTAGGCGAGAGATGAGATGTGCATTCACAATTAGCTGAAGCTCAAAGGAAGATATCCCTTGAGAGGCGTAAACTTATATGGGATACAGAAAATGCTTCTCTCGGAAATCGGGGGCAGAAACTGACTTAGGGCAGGATTCAATGGCAAGCTTTATCGAACTAGAGAACTAATCTTAGGCAAACGGTAAAGTTTTCCCTGGGCTTAATTAATTAAGTAGCATGCCATGAAGACGTCTGGGGAGCGAAAGCGTAACTCTACCATTCTTGACCTCTGCATCTGATGGAGTGAGTGGTCGGCCGCGGTACCCATTATATAAGAGGCTAGATGGGCTCCAAAGTCGTTCTGAACACTGTGGAAGGGGAAAGAAATGTATTTCCCTCGTCGGAAATAGAACCCCGGCCGTCCAGCTCGTAGCCCGTAGCTATACCGACTTAGCTATCCCGGATCATCCCTACTGCTTCAACGTATATGAGATAAAAATTGGTCTCTAAGAAATACGGTGCGGATGGCATTCAACCAGCTCAGGGCAGGATCAAATGCCCAGCTTTTTCGAACATGGCAATGAATCTTAGGGTTGCAGAAAAGGGTGGAATTCTTTGACTGTTTAGCAACTGTCAGTTTTAGAGAAACACCCTGTACCATGGGGGGTGGCACGCGGCAGCGTAGTTGGTTCAAGCACTATGCTACAAGCCGGAAAGTAGCGGAATCCCGGTGAGGCCATTGGATTTTTCAATTCACCTAATCCTTCCGTCCAGACCGGCTCTCAGGCCCATCCAGCGTACTATCCAATGGGTACCGGGGACATTTTCCCCGGGGGTAAAGCTGACCACTCATCTGCAGCTAGTGCCCACGTCAAGAAAATGTGGATCTATATATCCACTCCCCCATACACATTCATGGCGTAGTGCTTAATTAGTTAAGCACAGAGGACAATACTTTACATAATCCTTCTAGCTCCACTATGGCCCTGGGGTCGACGCAGCCTCTAACAGAAATTAGTACACGGAATCTTCCTGGGGGTAAAAGGACGGCCGGCGGCACCTGTCAGCCGATTGAGTAGAAAATGTGGGAGTCTGGATGTCTCACAACCCTATGGGCCTCCATGGCGTGTTACGGGGATAGCTTTACTTTTACCCTGTACCACGGAATTGACTAGTTAAATTAAATGCATTCATCGCGTGTTAAATTAGTGCAAATGTTGCCCATAATTTTGCAATTTTCACCGTCTCCCCCTTGTGGCGGAGTATATAAAGCATTATCGCACATCCTAAACAATTCATCGTGGCATGACCTGACGGTATGACTACCGTCAGGTACTGAACTTCGTTGGGTGTCTCACCCGAAGTTTCGAGCACCTCACAAACTTGTAACGTTCCGTGTGGGACAAGCTCCATTTGTTTCCTAATGGAGACTGGAAACATTACATCACATTGCAACGCGATTCTCCGTCTCCGTTCGTTCCGGCCCGGGGGACGGGATCAAAAATATCTCAAGTCTGCCTCAGGTGGCGAGCACAGAAATAAAGACCAGGCTACGAGGAATGTACAGAGCCCTGCCTGCCCCTCGCGGTTCGCAGCTTCACCGTCCCTGGGGCGATGTTCATTCAACACAACTCCAATTTGTAATAACTAAACAACTAACTAACTAATTAAAAATAACTGAGTCCATGGAGTCGAGTCATTTTTTGAGATGCAACTAATTGTTCAGTTACTCAAGAATTTCTCAACATTTTATGTAACCCAAAGGTTTATTAGCGCGTTCACAAGAGCCCTCCATTGATCCCTATCCTCAGCCAGATTAATCCAGTCCATATCACTGATTTATACTACTTTAACATCCATTTTAATATTATCCTCCCACTTACGCCTAGGTCTTCTCAGTGGTCTCTTTCCTACTGTCTTTCCAACCAAAACCCTGTATGTATTCCTTTTCGCCCGCACGCGTGTTACATGCCCTGCCCATTTCATCTTCCTTGGAGAAGAGTACAAGTTGTGAAGCTCCTCATTATGCAGTTTTCTTCGATGTCCTCTGACTTCAACTTCGGTCCGAATATTCCCAGCACCCTGTTCGGTTTACGATTCTCCCTTAATGTTAGAGACAAAGTTTCAAATTCATACAAAACTACATGCAAAATTATAGTTCCGTACATTTTTATGTTTGTAGATAGACGAGAAGACAAAAGGTTCTGGACTGAATGGTAGCAAGCATTACCCGAATTCAATCTGCTCTTAATTTCCTCCTGAATCAGGTTTTGCTTTGATAACGTCGTTTCAAAATTTGTATGTGAACTCCGCCACATTTTCAGACAATCTATCAGCCATCTCTGCGTTATGGAAATATAAACATATTTTGCAAATGTCTCGTTCGTAATTTGTCATACCTTATTTGGTAAGTGGGTATCAAAGTACAAAGAATCGTAAATCCAGCTGTTACGAAAATAAAGTGCTCCCTGTTCTTAATTAATTAAACGTAATTCCATGAAGCTGTATGGGGGAATGGAGGTATAGCTCCACCATTCTCGAGCTTGGCAGTAGATTGAGGTGAGTGGTAAGCTTCATGTCCCAGAGCCATGTCCGAACGCAGTGGAAGAGAGAAAAACATTTTGTCCCTGCCGAGAATTGAAACCTGGCCGTCCAGCCAGTTTCCTGTCACTATACCGACTGAGGTATCCCAGTCCCTGCTGTTATTACAGATACGAACTTACAGTTAAGAAGTCCAGATGTCAAAGTAGAATAATTATTTACTTTTTTTTAATGTCGCTTACAATTGCTAAGATCAGCGTTTCTTAATCTTTTTTTTTAAGTCGACATACCTTTCGGTCTCAAGAATTAGGGCGGCCGCACACCAACTGCGTCAAGACAAGCATCAAGACATGAGACAAAAGACGCAGTTTTGCTTCATTCGTATAATTCAGACTCGAGTCCGCACACCTAAGTAGCACGTGTCTGCGTCTTATCACATCTCTAGTTGATGACATGACGTCATGCTCTTCACACATGTCGATACCGTACACTGGTGCTGTTGCTTGAGTACCCTGACGCACAGAAACGGAGCATTCAGAGTCTCACTGCACGTGTCTGCAGCATGACTCAGACCGGTTTTCATAATCTCATTCGTTTCAACTGTGCTCCTTTCTTTGCGTCATGTCGCAGATATCGTGTCTTGACGCATTCCAGTATGCGGCCTACCTTAAACTTTACGCACCCGTTTTCAGTGGCGGCTCAGACTCTATCTCAAATTACGCGGTCTTGCATTATAAACACAAGATTTGATCTAACACAACTGATTTATTCGACTCACAGAAACAAACCGTCCCAAAGCAAGATGCCAAGACGATTTTTGGCTCTTTTAACCTGTGTCTGACATTATCTAAAACCCTTCTTACGTAACCCCTCAATAAGCTTCACGCAACTCCTGGGAGTGTACGTATCGGCGGATGAGGTTACGCAGTGTCGTGTAACTGGTGAATGCTGAATTGGAAAAACTGTGGAAGGAAGCGATCATGGCAAGATCTGCGATAGTATCCCGGAACTTGCCGGTAGTGACTTAGGAATACCAAAAAAATCTGAGGAAAGCTTGTC